GAAGAAAAAAAAAGAAAAGAAAGTGACAGTGATTACGAGTGTGGATTAGACGTGGTAATTTATATTTTTTATTATATTTTATATATATAATAATATAAATTATTAAAATATAAATATAATATAAATTATAAAATATATTTAAAATTTAAATATTAATATGATATATTTAATATATATATATATTATACGTGATATATATAATTAACATATATATATAATTTATTTATTTAAATATATCGTGAATAAACATGAATAATATTAATATATATAAATAAATACAATTAATTAAATATATAAAAATATATATGATTAATATAAATATATATAAAAATATGATTAAAATAATTATAAATTATTTATTATTTTTAATTTAATAAATGTAGTATATTAATAATATAAAAAATATTTATATATTAAAAAATAAAAAAACTTAATATTTATTTAATTTGTATTTAATATGTATTTAAATTTAAATTTAAATTATATAATTATATTAATTTTTAGTATAAATTTAAAATAATAAATTATTAAATATTAACTAATAAAATAATAATATATACCATTAATATTATATTTATATTATTAATATAAAAAAATAATTTTATAATAATTATTAAATAAATATCATAATTAAATGTTTAAAATAATTTTTATATAATATTAAATAAAAAGTATTATTTTATAAGTAAGGATCATTTAATACAATAATATGAACACGATATCAAAGGAAATCTATGAAAAAACACTTTTATCAATTAACTATATAACTTTATTGCATTAATATATTTTCCATTTTCGTTGGATTCTTTTGAAAAAAGGATTAATATTTGTTCTATTTCATTAGCAATTAGGAAAGAATTTGGTTTAGAAGAAAAAAGAGAAATAGATCTATTATATTCTCAATAAATATAAATACACAATTAGGGTTAATCCTATAAAAAATTTTTATGAATGAAAGCATCTCTATTTTTTTTATCATTCAAAAGATTTATTCGTAAAAATTTTCTTTCATTCATTTCATTTTTTATTTTATTTTATGACTTTAGTCTATTTATATGTAAAATACAATAAAAGCCAGTATTATTAAAACCATTATTACGCTTCCACATCAAAGCGAAATATAGTACTTAATTCTTTTTCTTTCCTTTAATGCCAATTGGTGTTCCAAGAGTTCCTATACGAAATCCGGGAGAGCAAGGTGCACTTTAGGTTGTTATATAATGCGACTTGTCAGATATGAGCATTTATTTTCTTTATTTAAGGATCTTCATTTACACTATCCATTAAAGTTTTTTTTTTTTTAACAAAACTCTCATTTATTTATTCTGTAATTATAAGCAAAACTCTTTCTCTTTTAATTACATTCATTTAAAGAAAACTTTTGTATAATTGATCAATAGGAGTTTAATAACATTTAATTGTTATTAAACTATAATAATTAATTTAATTTATTTACATAAGTTATTAAACCATAAATAAAAAGATCTTTTTAAATTAGACAATGGACATGGAAGTCAAATGATATCTAGCATTCTCTTATTAAATTTACATGAAAATTTTCAACTTTATAATTTAATAATAAAATATAACGCATAAATTATAAGCAAAGTTTTTTTTAAAATTAATTAAATTATAAATCATAATTAAGTAAAAATTAATAAAAATTATAGCGATTGTATGTCATTAATTTGACATAATCCTTGCAATATATTATAATATTAGTTCTATACCTAATGATCTTAAATGAGAGATACTGTATTTTCCAACAATAGTGTCTTTGTTAGAAATAAATTAATACTTCTTTTATATCATAGTGCCATATTTCAGACCCAATCAATACTTCTTTTATTTTTTTGAAAGGCAAAATTACTGACAAAGAAGCTTCGGATTAATAGTAAGGATCAAACCTTAAAATGCTATAGTTTTAATTTTTAGGTTTATTATGTGTAGATTTGATTTAATTTTATATTGAATATATTTAATTATATTCTAATTTTAGATTGATTATTCACTAATTTTATATACAAATAAATATAATACTTAATAATAGTTGTAACTTTCAGTACGCTTTTAATTTTAAAAGAGAAAAATTACTTACGATTTGATGATAGCCAAATTAATTCGTAAATAAAATTATACTAACAAACCATTTTAGTTAATGTTTTGTTATTTGTGCTTTGTTTTTTTTTTTTTTTTAATTAAAACTCAACGAATTGCTGAATTTTAATAAAAGCATAACGAAGGTTAGTGTATTGAACAAAGGCAAAATTATCAACAATGTATCCACAAGGACTGATTTACTAATTATAATTCTATATTTCACCATTGCACCCTGGTCTTCATAAACCTCTACTTCTTTTTTTTCTCCTCCATACTTCACTCTATAATTAAATAAATTGGAACACAATTATACTGATTTTTTATTTCACCTGCAATTAAGAGTGTAAATGATATATTAATATTTATAAGTTACTTGAGTTTGATTCAAATAAAATTCGAATTCGACCCGATTATTATCGAATCGAGCTTGAGTTCAAATAGCTTGATTTATCGATCGAACCGAGTTCGAACATTCTTATACCTAACTTGAATAGCTTACGAACTTAATCAAACTTTTTATATTTTAATATATTTTAATTATTTTAATTGATAAAATATCTTAAACTCGAGTTCAAGCTTAAGCACAAATAATCACGAATATAAGAATCGAGCTTATTTTTACATGTTAATCGAGCGAGCTCGAGTAGTTTGATTTTTATTTCGAGTCAAATTCAAACTAAAAATATAAAATTTGATTGAATTCGAATCAAATTTAAAATCTCAAATTTGAAATCAAGCTCGAACTCGAGTTTAATGCCGTATTCATTCAAACTCAATCGATTACACCTTATATCTAATTTTGTATCTTTTACGTATGAATTAAGTGAGTTGCCAATGCGTTCCTATGGTCAATTTTTTATTTTGTCATTTTTATTCATCATTTTTTTATTGTAAAATTTATTTAATTAAAAATGTAAAATGTAAAATGTAAAAAAGATGATACGTATATATTTTAATTGGTCTCATATTTTTATAATAATTATTTAAAAGAAAATTTTAAAAATAAAATAGTAAAAAAATCAAAATAAAAAAAAATGAAACTCGTAAAGAGTTTCACATGAATATTAATTTTTTAAATTAAATTTAAAATTTATATAAATATAATATTAAATTAATAATAAAATAAATACTTTTATATATACACTAAAATGAGTCAAGCCAAATCATCTTAAATATGTTTTCGTTTCGGTCTCGTTTTTCATAAAAATCGACTCATCCCAATTTTATCTTGATTTAAAAAATAAAAAATAATTTTTTGTAATTTTTGTACAAATTTATTTAATGAAAAATTAACAAATAAAATACAATGTCAACAAAAAGCAAAAATATATAAATTGTCATATTGACACCTTGAAAAAGGGTGAAATAGAAGTTAAAATAAGTAGAATTTATATAAATAGATAAATGCATGAATTATATGTTAATTGTTTATAAATATAATATTTTATCCTAAAAAAAGATTAAACAACTAAAAAAAAGCCTAGTATAAATTGTATCCTACTTTTTAAAAATAAAATCTATAAAAAAATATATTAAATATAAAAAAATTGACAAAAAAGAAAAAATAAAAGAAAATATGCAAAAAATAAAAGAAGTGATGTGGCTTAAATTATGGTGATGTAATGTTTATCGGTACCTAACCAAAATTTAAATTATAGATAGTAAGATTTGTTAAATAAAAAAATAAGACATCCATTTATCATTACTCTAGCAGAGAATGTCGTACTTGTATATCATAAGCTTATAAACAAAATGGAAATCAAAATTATTTTATTTCTATAGGAATTATTTCTTCATGATATTATCCTATTCATCATTCCCTATTTACTTTTTTTTTTCCATAGCATGGACATAATTTATAAAAAAAAATTAATTCAAAACTAAAATTTTTATATTTTCTTAAAACATAATGAATTGATATATTCTTTATTAAGAGTTCATTTGAATGTACAATAAAATTCAAAATAATGATAAAGATGAGATAAGTTATTATAATGATAAAATTAAAATCAATGATGAAATATGTGTTTGAATATAAAAATAACGATAAGGGTGGGATGTATAGTAAAAAAAAAATCATTATAGAAATTAAATTAAAAATTATATACGATAAGAATTTTATTAATGTTTATAAATTAATAACTAATTAAAAAATTATTAAATCAATTTTATGCCAAATAATAGTTTGATTAGTAAATAATTAATAATTAATAATTTTATCTTATAAAAAAAATTATTTAAAAACTTTAAAAAATAAAAATAAAATAAATGAACAATGTTGAAAACATAAAATAAAAGAAAGGTTAATAATAAAACTGCCATTAAATTTCATAATTTTTTGTTAAATCTACAAGCATCTAGTGTCTGAATATAAGTGTAAATGGTATATTAATACTAACAAGTTACTTGAGTTTAATTCGAATAAAATTTAAATTTAACTTGATCATTATTAAGTCGAACTTGAGTTTAAATAGTTCAACTTATTAATCGAGTAAAATTCATACATTTTTATATCCAATTCGAATAGCTTACGAACGTAATCGAATTTTTATATTTTAATATATTTTAATTAATAAAATATCTCAAACTTGAGTTTAAATTTAAATACAAATAATTAAATTTTTATCAAATATAAAAATCAAATTTAATTTTACATGTTAATCGAATATAATCGAACGAATTTGAATAACTTAATTTTTATTTTTAGTTGAGTTTAAATTAAAAAAAATAAAATTTGATCAAATTTAAATCAAATTTTAAATTTTAAATTTAAATTAAATTTTACTTCAAACTTAATAATGTATCGATTAAAATTTAATAGAATATTACTTCGTGTGATCAGTGCTTTGGCACGACAAGACACTGAACATTTGTGATCCGGACGCACAAGTAGCATGGTTTGCTCATTCAATCGTGCCTCAGTGGGGCTCTTCTAAATGCAAATCAAGCCATACTTTACAGGCACCACCATTCTGAAAACTTGAATTTAACAGTGGTAGCAAACTGCCAAACTTTTCCCCATCCCCATCCCCCACCTCTTCATTTCTTTCCTTTAATTTATCCCAACCCCCAATACCAACCAGCACCATCAACCACCCTAAAAAAGGCATATGAACCCAAACCCACGCAGCCCACGTATCACATTTCTCGTCCGAACCAACTTTCCCCCTCCATCAATGTCTCTAAACTCCTCCCCGTTCTTTCCTTTGTTCATCTACCTGTTTTTCACCATTCTTTTACCTGTTTCCTTCAGTATATCCAATCCAGACGCAGCCAATGTCCAGCCACTTCCTTTAACAACATCACCACCAGCAACAATCCCTGCATTTCCAGAGCAATCAAATGTTGTTGGCTGTCCACTGGACCTACCTGAAGAACTGTTTCACAACATACAAAGTGCTTGTGGCATCGGGATCACAGGGCAGCTCCACCCCAGCCGCTGCTGCCCTGTACTAGCGGCATGGCTTTATGCCGCCTACTCTGCCACTGCCCTTGGCAGGGCTGGAAGAGTAGTACCGGCAGTGGCAGGACTTACCCCATCATATGACATGCCACTGCTTCCTGATGACTCTGAAACGTGTGTTGATGATTTAGGAAAAGCTTTGAGACAGAAAGGGATAGAGTTGGCCAAACCAAATGAGACATGTGATGTGGTATATTGCTACTGTGGCATCAGGCTACATCCATTCAGTTGCCCTGAGTCATTCTCAGTGAACCAAAAGGGGAACCTTGTCGGGGATGAGAATGTGGAGAGATTGGAAAGAAATTGCTTAAGTAGCGGCACCAATGTTAATGGATTTCCTGGTCTTGGTGGATGCAACAAGTGCTTGAAAAGTCTTCATTTGGTAAGTTTTCCAGCATTAATTTTCAAAATTGTTTGGTCCTTTTGCTTGTTCAACTGAATTTGTTCTTAACTAAAGATCTGATTAAGCTTTTCTCTTCTCTTCTTCCTTGACTGGGAAGTTTGGGATTTTAGTGTTTCGCTTTTTGGGCACTTTGGGAAAGTTGTTTTCCCTTTGCTTTCAAAATTATTTTACATGGCCACTACACGTGCAGTCAGAAGGGTCGGTAAATGAAGACTCCAATCCGTGCCAATTTTACATGTCCTAAGAGTGGATTCTTGTATTCCACGCGCCGGGGGAGAGTGGGTTAGACTTTAAGGATGAGGCAGTTTACTGTTATCTTTGTCGCTATTAAGTAAACGGTATTAGAATTAATCCAAAAAAAAAAAAAAGTAAACCGTATTAGTTCCCTGTATTGTACAAACAAGATTTTTCAACAAGATTAGCCTTTTGATGTTAATTATGAGCATTGATTTGGTTATTTTAGACACTTTGTAGAGTTGCTGGCTATCGAGAGCTCAAAGGGGAAGCTTAGAAATGGATTTTTCAGTAGATGTTGTACTTAGGTATTTAGTTGTTCAAAACATACACTAAACTTTGTCTTTTAGTCTCACGGATACATTTGTAATAGAGTGTTTATGTACACCCTCAGGATCTAAAGAAACAAGAAATTTTGAAGAAGAAATTTTCTGGATATCTCAAAAACTTTTTTCAACATTCTTTTTCATTGCCAAAATTGATAAACTATGGATAATTATTATAAGTGATTATAAAAAAAATCCTACAATCGCCAATGCTTAGTCCAATTAGCAGCCAAATGCTCTATTTCTCTTCTAACGGGCAATAACTTTTATGCAGCTCAACAAGAAGAATAGTTTGAATTCAAGCAAGTCAGAGGAGAGGGCCACCAAAATGCGCAACAAAGACTGCCAGCTGATAGGTCTCACATGGCTTCTCGCAAAGAATCGAACTGCTTACATTCGAACAGTTTCTGCAGTTCTACGAGCTATAATGATGAGCAAAGATGGTTCGAACCCTTCATCATGCACTCTAAACAGCGATGGAATGCCCCTAGCTGTTGATTCTTTTGAAATTTATGATCAGTCCTCATCAGTTACCCTCTATCTATCCCAACACCTCTCGCTTCTATTGCTTAGCTTGTTGCTTATCCACCTGATAATATTATCATAAAATTTTATTTAAGGCATTAATATAGCTTGACATTGTAAAAATCTTTGCTCTTTCTGTTAGTTTCCAAAGTTAAAGCTGTGGTTTTAATGGGCTTTTCCATGAATAGCTAAGATTTTTGGGTCCAAAATTTGTGCAAATTTTCAATGTGGGCCTTGTTACATGTGCTTCACTCTGCGCTACTTTGTGTTGGACGGACAAATTTTGGTCAAAAGTGATCATTGTTTGTGGGCAATTCTAATTAACAGTAATGTTATACGCGGGAAATTCATGAACTTTCAACATCTAACAACCAAGAAAATGTTGAAGATGTGGATGCCATGCCAAGTTGGCTTACGGAAATTTCTTTTACCCTATTCCAAAGAAAACAAAATCATCAATGTCTTACTATTATCATTCATTTGATAACCTAACTTTGGACTCCTAGTATTTATGAGTTGTTATTTTTAAGTGAATGTCAATGGGTTCCAACTTCCAATCCAGGTTTGGAAATCTTTTCTTTCCCTTAAAATTTTTCTTTTTCTTTCTTTATCCCCTTTTAATTAATGAGAATTCTATGATTTGATAAGCTTTTTGGCTAACATAATTGATAAGCAATTGCGAATCTAGAAAATTTTTTTCAGAAATATCCACTTATAATATACATATACATACATATATATATATATATCTACGGACGGATTTATTCATTTTACTAACAGAATTTATCAACTTTGATGACGGAAAGAGTGTCCATGGAAAAATATTAGAGCGTTTAATAGAAAATTTTTTTCAAAATTTCTTATTTTTCAATCTTTGGGATATCCATTAGAAAATTTTGGGAGTGTCCAATTGAAAATTTCTTTTCGAACTTTCATATTTTTCAAATTTTGAAGGTGTCCATTGGAAAATTTTAGGGTTATATAGTTAAAAATTTTCCTTCAAACTCCCATATTTTCCAATTTTTTTGTGTGTCAAGCATCGAAGATGTGCCCGCCATTGTTGATAAGCTGAAGTAACAATAGTTTTAGGATAGACTAGGTTTTATTCATTGCTTTTCTCTTACTAGCAATTCTCAATTGGTAAATACCGATAATTAGAAGTGAAAAGGGAATCTTAGCTAGATATTTTATTAAAACCCCACAAGCCTCTCCATCAAAGGTTTATTGGGCTAAAAGTTTACATAATCATCAAATCACATTGACCTAATAAGATGTGCAAAACTTATTTGTAAGTGATCATTATTAAATTATTTGGACTTTTATGTATGTGTCATATTAAGACTAAATTTGTCAACCTATTTTATTAAACTATAAAATCACCAATTAATAGTTGCACAGTTATTGAAAAATTTTTACATTCTCTCACTTAGGTGATATTAATTAGGCTATTTGATTTTAAGAAAACATAATTTAAAATATAAGATTTTAGGCTGATTAACTTTACTATGATATGGCCACAGTTTTAAGAACAAGTTAACCTTGAAAGAACATCTTAAATGATCATGTCCAAAAAAAATCTAACCAATCCATAATTACAAGTACTAGAATCTTTATCGATAATGGATTTGAGTGTGGTTGTATCGTAAGAAAATAAGACCTAAATGTGATCTTAATGTGTTATTTTCATTGTTAGTTCTCTTGTTGATTTTTCTAAACTTTTTAAGAAATTTTCATGGCATCCAGATGTGCCTGTATGTCTCATTCCTCCCTTTATAATTACTTAGAGTATCACTTATAAAACATACTTAAATGACATTAAAGTCATACTCAAGATAAAACTAAGTCTTAAGATTTAATAATATGACATATCAATATAAGATGTACACATGCTGTTAGATATAAACATAAATAACAATATCATATGTTGACTATATATATATATATATATATAAACATTATCAAGACCTCACCCTACCTAAAAGTGACTTTAAAAAAAAATGCAAATGCTAAATTTTGGCTTTGTGCATAATATTGATATGTCATTGAGTATTGCATAGAGATATAGTGAGAGAAGAACTTGATTCAATTTTATCTCAATCAAGTTAGTAAAGTGTAAAAGTAATAGAGAGACTGCACATTGAGTTTATCCATTTTTTTCATATCAAATTTTTTCATAAAATAACTTACCTTTTCATTGAAAACTTTTAATTAAAGAAAAAAAATCAAGGAGTAGCTTAGCGGCGATTGAGGTCTCAAACAAAATGGCATGGAAGAGCACTATTTGATGCTCAATGATGACTAGGCTTATTGAGAAAAGAAAGGGACAATGGCGGTAGTGGCGACAGCATCTGTGGTGGTGACAAAGGCGATGCCGGTGACATTGCTAAATTGGAGGCAAGGAAGAAACCCTAACTCTTATTGGTTGAATGAAAGAGTTTTTTTTTTCTTTCCCTAGAGAAAAAGATTGATAATTTTTCTTTGCCTTATTTTCAAATAAAAAAAATTGTTATGTTCAATTTTTTGTGTTCGTGATAAAAAGGAAGTGGCGAGGGTCACTTTTGAATATTCACTCTCACTAAAATTATGAATAATGACTATCTTTTTTTTTTTTTTTTTTGCCTTTGCATATTAACTTTCAATAAAATCATAAATCATGATAACAATTTTTTATTTACTGTTTTTTTAGAATTTTTTATAATATATATATTTTAAAATATTTTTCATTTTTGGTTACTATTAAAAAATTATATTTTTTATGAGATTACTATGACTTTCACAAAATTTACAAAGATTCTTATTTAAATTGTTTAATTTTTTAGAAAAGATATAAAAATTAATAAATTTTATTTAGTGAAATTTGAAGTGACCCTTATTAAATTTATTTATATTAATTTTCAACTTCCATCTCAATAGCAATATGAAATTTTACATTTATAAAACAAATTTATAAGGATCATCTTTAAATCTTCAAAAAAAAAAAAAATAGTGAAGATCATTTGTGATTATCACAACAAAATGACTTTTAGTGAGGAAAAAAATGCATTGCTCACTAAAATTACTTTCAATAAAGGTTATGGATAGCCTTCAATACAAAAAGAGTTTTTAGTGATTAAAATTCTAACCAAAACACACTTTTCTAGTAGTGGAATATTAATCATTATTATATATTGGAGTATCTTTTATGGTTGTCTTTTTTATGGGACATAAAGGTGGACTTATAAAACAAATAACTTTAATATTTAGATAACTTTGATTTGGTGCATGTATAAAACAAAGTACTTACTAATAATTAAGTTGACATTTTAAAATTTCATTTTTACTATCAAATTTACTTCAATTTTTGAGTTTTTTAAAAGAGGATACATTTCAAGTAATTGAATTTTATTTTTATAGGGCAAATCATCCTACATTCGATGGATAAGACATGGATAAATCTCACTGTCATAACATTTAGATATGGGGATCTATCTTAGACATTGACTTAAAAGAGTCGCCACCAATCTTTTTTATCTAGGTGCGATTGGCCACCTAAGGAATCTATCTTTTTAAGGAACACCTAAGCCTAAGGGTCCTTAAAAGAATAGGTTTAGGTCTACTAACCACAATAGAGTTCGGGAGTGTGGTTACGTGTAAGGAAGGTTGTAGCACCCTCACAACGCCCATCGAAAGATGGTACCAGCTTAATTTTATGTTATCCAATAAGCCTTAAAAATTTATCAAGTAATTAATTATTAGAAATTATTTTCAATTGACTATAATACTTTTAGCAGAAAATTAAAAAAATTATCTCACCTCAAGAGAATGCAAGGAGACTACTGTTTCACTTGCAGATGCTTTATCGTCAGATTATTTATCATTAAAGAAAATTCAAGAAACAAAAAGGAAAAGAAATAAAAGGAAAAAAAGGAAACAAAATGATTCAGCTTTAGATATAAATCCTTTTCTCTTTAAAAAACTCATTGCTTTTGTACAAGAAAAATTTATACTTTCAATTTTTCCCCAAAATATTTTTCTGAAACTTTAATTTCAAAGAAAATTGATACTTTGAATTTTTTCTCGAAAATATTTTTTAGAAAACTTATTTTCAAAGAAAATTGATACTTTCAACTTTTCCTAAAAAATATTTTTTCTGAAAACTTATTTTCAAGGAAAATTAAAGAAAATTGATACTTTCAACTTTTTCTTAAAAATATTTTTTTGAAATTTTATTTAAAGAAAATCATTTTAAAAAATAAAATAAAATAAGTAAAATAAAAAAAATAAAATAAGGAATACTAAATAATTCTAATCAAATCAAATAATAATAATAAATAAATAAATAAATATAAAAAAAAACCTTTGAAATGGCTCGGCTCAACTGGAAAACGGCTCGACTCAAGATAAAAAAGGCAGCTCGAAGACGCGGCTCGGGGACGTCGGCTCGACTTCAGAAGAAGCTTAGTACGCAGGTCGCTGGACCGGGTCACGATCGGGTCAGGTCGGATCTTGGTAAAACACGCGGATCCTGTGCGTTTACTAACGCCAAAATGACGTCATTTTATGACACTATAAAAGGCTTCAACCTTTGTTTTTCTGCAAATCTCTTCTTTCCATCTCTCTCTTCTCCTCGTTTTTCTCCTCCTTATCTCTAAAGAAACCAAGAACTCTGATTGAATCTCATTGGATTTTGAAAAATATTATCGAAATCTGAGTTTTTCATCGAAAGTTCACCGAAAAGTTGGTCGATTTTTAAAAATAGTACGTTGAAAATAGGGTAGCTGGTCGAAAAATTCAACTGTGTCGAAAAAATCATCGAAAAATTTAAATTTAGTCGAAAAATTCACCGAAATCTGAAAATTTTCCAAAAATTTCCAGAAAAAATTCACCTAAAATTCTCTAAATTTTTAAAAAAAAACTCATAAAATTGCTTCTGACCTTTCTGAACACCCCTTTTTCTTTTCTTTTTGCTCTCTCTCCCCATATGTTTTTGTGTTCTATTCTTTGTGATTTATGGATCTATTTATAGGGATTGATCATAAAAATTTATGATCAATCCCAATTCCATCTTGGATTGTGATTCAATCCTTGAATCGAATCTGAACTTTAATTGAATCTCAAATTCATGGTAGAATTCTAATTCTCTTATCCTAATCCCAACCGAAAATCAATCAAGAAAAAGATAAAAAATAAAATATATATATTAATAGATAAATAATAATATATAAATAGATAAATAATAATAAAAAATATATATTAATAGATAAATAATAATAAAAAATATATATTAATAGATAAATAATAATAAATATATATTAATAGATAAATAATAATAAATATATAT